GGTAGATTTGTCGGTGGAGGTGCGCGTAATCAGGAACCAGATGGTGACACAAGGCGCAGAGACAGCGATTTAGACAGGTTCGGGCCGTCTGATCGACGTAATACCCTACGTCTTGTGTCTTTGGTATATTGTATTGAGATGTAGTAGATAGATCTTGTCCACTAGGAGACCCCTACATCTCCTTATATACTCTAGAGGGGTAGGGTTACAAGGAAAGTAGCATATTTGGTACTATACAATAGCTTGCGGTGCACGCCGAGCAGCGCCGTGCACGCCTTGATCTTGTGGGCCAGGCCACCTCTGATGGTGCGGCCCATGTCTTCTCTTGAGGATACCGGGGGCCGTACCCCCACAAGTTTAGATGGCAGCGAGCACTCAAATGTTAAAAAAAAAGTACCAAAAGTTCTAGTAGTGGACACAATAGAGAGTATGCATGGCATAGGAGCAAAATGCATAGGAACAATTAGCTAAGAGTGCGTTCGGCTGGCTGGCCAGCGCACTCACAGTTATACTGTTCATGTGAACAGTGTTTTTAGATAGAGCAGTATTTTCTTCTCACAACAATCAGCCGAACAGTATTTTGGCTTATTTTTCAGTCCTGCCGAACAGCCTCTAAAGTGCAGTGCGGTAGACGTTGCATCTAGCCATCACTACGGCGCAGTCGCACTTGTAGCTTGGCTTCGCTATGAAGCAAAGAAGACATGACATGACTCGTGACTAGTCCCACCAATCTGTTCTCATAGAATTCCACCGGTGCTTTAAGATTGTTCGACAATTAATGAAAAAACAATAGATATATATATATATATATATATATATATATATATATATATATATATATATATATACATCCAAAATGTGTCATGCCAATCCACACCGATGAGCACGCAAATCGAACCAGGCCAAAACCGTAACGGAAGGAGATATTACACTTTAACCCTCATCATGTTATTATTGGCGTGGAACTCGGTTGGTAGATATACACTCTCCATCCATTGCTAAGTGGAAATTATTGGCCTATGTTGATATATGACTCCTTGAAATATGAATCCATTGACAATTAGAAGTTGTTTATGGGCATGCCGCTACTGGAAGCAACCAATGTATCTATCACCAGTTCCATCCTCTCCCTACCACGTCAACGTTCGATCCGGTGTTGACGAAGGGCTAGTGAGAGTTTGGTCTGTCAGATCTATTGGCTCTCTTCAGATCTAGGTGGCAGATGGTGTGCATTTATCAAGGGAAGTAGTCAGTTGGCTCTCTTCATAGCGATTTCGACCTCTTCTTTTGGTTTGTTCTATTGTAAGGTCTGGTAACTCTAATACTCTGATCTAATGGTGAAGGACTCTAAGCTTGTGTTCCTTGGAGGGTTCCTCCAGATGATGTTCTTTAAGTGGATTCTAGATCTCATTGTCAGCGATGAGTGGATTTTGCAGTGTTCAAAGCCTTGTATGGTGAGGGTATTTGTAGGTGTCCCATTCGTTTGCTGTTGCTTCAGTGCGTTTTTTCAATCTTTGACAGCAAAGGACGATCAAATGAAGAAGATGACTAGTTTGATCTTCAATGTACTCTTATTTTTAGAGGTCATTTTGTGTTAAGTTATCCTTTTGTACGAGCTATTGTTTTCCTTGATATATATCATATATGAGACAGTCTCTTGAGTGTCTTTCTCAAAAAAAAAAAAGAGTCGTATGCATGGTCATGGAAAAAGGAAAGGTGTGGTGGTGCGCATGAACAAAGAAGGGGCTGCACGCCCACTTCTACTCCCATGACGAGGGAATTTGAGAATATTTCTTTTCTTTCTTTTCCTAGGTTCATCATTTAATTAATTAAAATATCTAAAAATTCAAGGGTCTAGATTTGTTTACGTATTACCTCCTAGTAAAATCAGCTGGGTTTTTGTTAGTAATGCAACCATCTTTTTTCTCAAGCTTATCCAAAGGATGTATCGTTTCCGCTTTGCCATTGCTCCAAGGTTGACTAATACCATGCCTCGGCAATCGATGTTCTGGACCGGGAACAGAGCTAGCCGAACCCAACCGCAGGGCTCCATCTTGCTGAGAACATTCATGAGTTCAAGGTATCATAGTTTCCATTCCTATCCATATCTAGTAGCACTGTCGGAGTCATCCTCCGAATCATCGCCCAAGAGCTGCTCGAGGAGGAAATGGATCGAGGCGACATCCATCCTGGAAGCTCCTACGAGGATACCACCACAAGCGTGCCCCCGCGCATCAGCCACGCGAGCTCATACTAGAAAGTGGTGGCCTTGTTCCCGATCCGGTAGGTAGGGGAGATCAAGAATGACATACCAGAAGCGATGCGCCAGGGGTAGCTCCTGTCCGGTGACAAGCTGTTGATGGACATAGGCTGGAATATAGAACGGTCCCCCACAGACAGGCTTGGTCCCAAGCCAAGGCAAATCTGACGAGAATAAACAATGAATTTGCAGACAGAAGCCACCAACCCTGTGGTAATTAAACAACGAATTTGCAAACAGAATAAGAACCAAAAAAAACACGTGTCCTTATAACCTATCAAAAAAAAGACGTAACATTTCCATATTTCCCATCTGCGAATAACACACCGGCGACGAGGAAAACCAAAAGGCATAAACATATAAGTAGGTGGCATAACGCACAAGCATAGAAACACTTGCCGAAGAGGGCATGGCCAACGGTATGAAGAGGGGGAAAATAGATAGAGTAAAGGAAAAGAGCAAAGTCAAATAAAGAACGAATAATGCAGCACTTCAAACTAGCTTTTTTGTTAAGGAGCAGAAAGAAAAGAGAAATGTTGCAGTAATGAGGCACAGTCATAGGTATAATAATAATAACATCCAACAAAAGGACACAATAAACATCTTGATTAAGTGGTGAACATATATCTAAATAAGAAAACATTACAAAATCAGCAACCAATGGTATAGTTATACTTGAATCTGAATAAGGAAGCAATGGTATAGCCATACTTAAAAATTACAATGCAAAAGTCAAAAATAGTAAAAAAAAAAGTTAGGAGCATACAGTGTGTTAGCAGCATAAATTTAAAATTGCTATTTGAACTTACATAGGAACAACCAGAAGATACAAACTCTAGAACGAAAACCACAACCATAACTGGAGAACGCAACATGAAAGCAGGCATCAATTGCTTACCCACACAACAGGATTATGCGGTGGTAGAAGGCCCAACTAGCGTCCATTGTTGCTTTGAAGTCAAGGAGAGGCAGGCTTCATGTTGGAAATGGGAGGCTCCCCAACCAAAAACGTTCTTTGATGGTTTGGAATCAATGCGAGGCACGGCAGATGTAGGAAACACGAAGCATTCCAAAACACATAGGCGTAGAAAAATATGAACCTGATGCAAAAACGCAGGTGCACCATATGAGAAGATTGTGTGAGGCAAAACAAAACAGCAGCCTACATGCACTCCGTGCCAGCTCTAGTCGTGCAGTCAAGCAGCAACCGCGCACCGTGGAGCGCCGCCGTCACGCCGAGGAGCAGCAGCGCGCTGAACGAACACACGCCACCGTGCTGTGGAGCACCAGCAGTCGCTCATCTGATGCCTAGATTCGCCCGAGGACTCGCGCCTGCGCCACCGTGTGCTTGAGGCTAGGGGCAGCGCTGCCGTGTGCTTGAGTCACAAGAAACCATGAAAGGAAGGAGGCGCGGGAAGGCTGGAAGGGAGCAGGCAGTGAAGAGCTAGGGTTGGAGCACTTATATACTCCACAATATTGGATCCAACGGTGCTGATTAACCTTAGGCCATCCAATGGGTAGGACATAATGCCAGCCCATTAACCGTGTCGTGCCCATGCCGGTACCGTGGGCCAGACTTGTGCCCTAGCCACGACACTAGGCCCATGCCCGTGTCGGCACTGGCATTAGAGCATCTCAATCAATATCTAAAAAATACTCCCAAAAACAGGTTCTCCAACCTTTGCAAAATATATTGGGAGATATAAAAAAGCTACAACTCCAACAGTTTTCAAAATTTCGCGCCTAAAAGGTAGAAGGTAATTTTACATCAGGAATCCTAAACTATTTCTAAATCACACTAACCACTTTTATAATTTATTTCTCTCTTATACATTTGCATCAGGAACTCTGTCCTATTTTTTTTTCTTCCCCACGTCCTTCCACCTCCATTGGGGCGATGATACGAGCGCGTAACTTTACGCGCGTGGAGGTGGTTCTTTCTAAGTGCCCAAAAGATTGGGAGGTGGGTTCGGGAGTTGTTGGAGACGAATTTTTTTCAATCTCGCCAAAATTACTGGATTATGAGACTCTTTTGGGTACTCTTGGAGATGCTCTTATGGTCTTAGTGTCGTATGCCCGTGTTGTGCTTTTTTGGGCCATGCCCGTGCCAGTCCATCGTGCTTGGCCCATTTGGCCATCTATAACATAGACTAAGCAACTAACACTTACTAAATCAAGGGTCATAGTACGGGGCACAAGCAATGGTATGGGAATCTATTAAAAAGATTGCATCCATAAAGAAAAGGATCACTTAAAAGGCAATGAACATGAAAGTAAAAATGACATGAATCTAAGGAATCTATAAAGAAAAGGACCATCTAGAAGGCAACAAAGATGAGCCTAAAAATGAGCACTAACATGAGGAAAAGCGTAATGCCTATACACGTGACGCGTGGCAATCCTGCCAAGGAAAAAAAAGAGCAATAATTAGTAATAAATAAGAAGCTGTAAAAATCGGAGTATATATGGACCTGCAAATGAGAAAGAAAAACTAAAATCAGAAAGTGAGAAACAGAGGAGGTCTAACCTAGGGTAAGTCGACGGCATCATTGTTCCAAAATAAATAATTTTGATGCAAAAAAGAAAGAATTATACCAAATCGAGGCCAGAAAAAGGGCACACAACTTCCATACAAGCTTCTTAATCAAAGAGGAATACCAAGCGTACCTTCGAAACCAAGAGGAGGTGGCGACCACCATACGGACTGGACAGGCCTGCGACGGCGGCGGGGACCGTGGAGATGAAGACGCCCACCGCCAGCGGTGCGAGGGAAGGCACGGCCGCGACATGGAAACTAGGTGTAGGCGACGATACGCGGCAAACATATGGCGGCTCCATGCTGGCACAGCACCAGGAACTACAAGGGCGGCGACGCAAGCCGCTAGAATGCTCCCGGATGAGACATGGGCAGCTGTGGCATGGAGACGAGGAGGCGCGTCGACCGTACGGTGCCTCTGCACCGGAAATGGTGAGGGCTGCGGCGCAGAGCGGTGGAATGGTCCCCGGCATGGGCGTAGGCCGAGATCGAGTGGCGGCGCAGCAGCAGCAGCAACGCACCAGGTGAGCACGGGCGTTGATAGCTGTGGACTGAGTGGAGGAAAGCAAAAGGTGGAGGCGAAGAAACGGATAAGGCGAAGCTTACCGGCGCGGCGGCGGTTGTGAGCGCGAAAAAACGCGGATGAATCGAGTCCATAAATTACAGTGCAAAAGTAAAAAGAAAAAAAGAAAAAAAAAAGCTACGAGCATACATTGCGTTAGCAGCATAAATATAAACTGCTATTTGAACATACATAGGAACATTTTCAATTAGGTGGCTTCCATATGATGTGTCGGTGGAATATTTTCAATTCGGTGGCTTCTATATGATGTGGTGGGTGACGCAATGTACTGATCATGCTGCATTGGTGCCCATATGGTGAACTGAGAGCTTGTGTTTGAAGTTCCATCTGGTGCTTGTCAGCTCTTCTGTAGTTTGTGAAGCCCGGTGCCGTTGATGAGTCCATGTCCATTAGTCTCAGAAGAAGTTTTGCAGGCATATACAAGGTTTTGGATTCAAAATGCAAAAAAAATTCGGTGGTCACCGAAATGGGCGAATTTCAGAAATTCTGGAAATTTCGGACTGGTTTTCAGATAAGTAGACCAGTCAAACATTTCATATTTGACCAAATTTTGACTGAAATTAGACCAAATTTTGACAAATTTAGTCTGAATTTTTTTATTACAAACAGAACAGCGGATAAATCAATTAAAAACGCTTCACTGCCACCCATGTCGCTGCGCACCTGCCCACCATTCACTTGATTGCGTGAAGCCTCCGTGGAACCTACCTAGGACATGGCAGATTATCACGCATTACCAGATGAATTTTATCACGGTTAAAGGAAAAATCACTCACGGAGGGAGCACCTATGGGGATCGAACGGCATGGCCGGAGGTGGCAAGGAGCAGCAGGGACGCGACCGGAGGTGGGAGGAGCGGCCGGGGCATGGCCAAAGGTGGGGAGGAGTAGCAGGGACGTGAGCGGAGGTGGGGGGCGGCGAGGTGCGACCACACAGCGAGAAGCAGAGGTCTGCTCTCTGCTTTCTCCAGCCGCCGCGCACAGCCAAGGGTTTCTACCGTGGGGTTCTCGTTTTTATACTAGGGGAGGTATTGGTGGGCTGTGGTGGATCTTGGGCTGGGCTAAAAGTTCAAATTGGGCCGAATTTTTTTGGCCGGGTTATATTTCTCTCGGGCCCTACCGAAATTTGGCACATTCGGGCCGAATCCTTGATCCTTTGGCATATAGGCTCTTTTGGGTAAAGGCCTCACTATCCAGCAATCCTTTGATTGTACTGCAGCATACCAGTACCAGCCTCCATAGTTAATGATGTGCTTGCAAGACTTGTACTAGCCTCCTCAATAGTTAATGATGTGCTTGGAACACTTCTCGGCTCAACCTGGCTAACTGCGTCCTTTGTGTTATGGACTATGCCCGCAATTGCATCAACTAGAGTCATTCTTTCTGATGCCGAACATTTCTTCAAATAAGTGTCAAGCTCTGTTCAAACATCAATGGCACCGTCCTTGGCAGCAACTTTAGCATAATCAACTGCAGCTATCTTGGCTTGAGTATGACTTTTCCCCCAAAGAATTGGTGTCAGTCCTCAATCGTTCCTCATGCTGATTTCTGGAAAGAAGTTCAACAGTCCATGGGGTGTCATGTATCACATTTTGCTTTTCATGCATCTCTGTCTTTTGCTTTTTCTTATTCTCGGGAACATTCTACATATCGAGGCCAGACACATTCTGGATATTATGTTTACCAAGAGAAACCTGTAATGATGTATATAAGTGAATATTTCATAATATCCACATAGAAGCAAGAGAAAAAAATCTAGTTTTTTTTTTTGCATTGCTTACACCAATGTAAAATAATATATCATACCAGTTTATAAAGGAAGTGTATGTCATTTGGGATTCACTACTTTGCTCACTTCTCATCCCAAACTAGCTATTTGTGTGTATGACACTGGAATTTGTATGCCAAGTTGCCTACACACTCCAGTGGTATAAACACAAATAACAAGTTCAGATGGCAGCGAGCAAACTAGTGAACTCAAATGTCACAAAAAGGAGCCAAAAGTTCTAGTAGTGGACACAAAAGAGAGTATGCATGGCATAGGAGCAAAATGCATAGGAACAAATGTCGCAAAGAGAAGAAGAACAAACAAATTCTATACCGTATAAAGGTTCGTCATTCAGGTCAACAAAACTATGTAAAGCAGGTAATAAATGCAATAATCTATTTACACATTTTGCAGGATTTTGTAGAATTTTTTATTTGTCATACCTTAGCAGGATATGCACAGTGCCTTCATATTCCATCTGAGGAAAATCATCCAAGCAACATCCTTTGCATATGCCGACCCCGAGCGCCCCTCTCTTGCTCCGCAAGCGCGCCTCCACCATCGTCGCTCGCATACTCATCGATGGCAATCAGACCTTTGTCAACGAGGAAGCTCCTTGCGGCCATGGCTTGACATCAACCGAGGCCTCCCGATTGGATCTTGGCATGTAAACTCACAAGCGGCTCCGTTGTTAATGTTGTGCTTGCATGACTTGTACCAGACTCCTCAATAGTTAATGATGTGCTTGGAATACTTCTCGGCTCAACCTGGCTAACTGTGGCCTTTGTGTTATGGACTACGGACGCAATTGCATCAACTAGTGTACGTCATGTTTTTGATGCCAAACATTTCTAGAAATAAGTGTCAAGCTCTGTTCATACATCAATGGCACCGTCCTTGGTAACAACTTTAGCATAATCAACTGCAGCTATCTTGGGTTGAGTATGACTTTTCCCCCAAAGAATTGGTGTCAGTCCTCAACCGTTCCTCATGCTGATTTCTGGAAAGAAGTTAAAACAATGTCCATGGGGTGTCATGTATCACATTCTTCTTTTCATGCATCTTTGGCTTTGGCTTTTTCTTATTCTTGGGAGCATTCAACTTATGGAGGTCAGACACATTTTGAATCTTATGTTTACCAAGAGAAACCTATAATGATGTGTAGAAGTGAATATTTCATAATATACACAGAGAAGCAAGAGAAAAAATCTAGTGTTTTTTTTCATTGCTTGCACCAATGTAAAATAATATCAAACAAGTTTATAAAGAAAGTGTATGTCATTTGGGATCCACTACTTTGCTTACATCTCATCCCAAACTAGCTACTTGTGTGTATGACAATGGAATTTGTATGCCAAGTTGCCTACACACTGTAACGTCCCGCCTCCATGAGGCCCCTGTAACACCTCGGGTGTTAGCCTTGCATAACTTGACTTGCATAACATGAGCATGATCATCAAGCATTCATAAACAAGCATTTACCATTGAAACATTAGATTGAAACATCTGCAACGTTTGCTTGTTATCGCATGTTTCTTAAACATATGCAACTTTTCTCGTTATTTCATGTCTCCATGTATCTATGCATATGGTCATGAGTGTATGCATGTACTTGGTGGATGTGAGTCACGCAAACATGTAGCCACACTAGGGTAGCAAATAGGACCTTATTCATGGTTACATTTCATGAACCAACATTTAAGCTTCATGTGATTACACTAGCAAGCTCTATGAGTGACTACTACATGAAATGATTGAATGACCTTGCAAATTGCTTGAACATGTCTAGAGTATCATTATGAACAACTTTGATATTCATGGTTAGGGGTAATTAGGTCATTAAGCCATGCTTTGATGTGTATCATCATTTAAAAGTGACATGTTTGACCAAATTTGAACTAGGTGTTAGAGACCTTGCATGGAGGAGATCACTAAAGCAAAGTTGTAGTGTTTGACATAAGGAACAACTTTTATTTTTAGGTCATGGACTGATTTAGCTTCTAACATGCTTGAATGGGTCCCACAAAAACCAGCAAAATCAAGCTTTCAACACTTAACGAATTTTTCTAAGTCCTGGATCACTGACAGCCTGACAAGCTGACCTTAAGCATGATTTTACTCCTTCTCGGTTGCGAATTAGAACTAGATTCTTGAACGAAAGTTGTAGATGGTACATCGGTCTACAAGTTCCATTTAGATGGTTTACGCAATAGAGCTATGGATTAGTAGTTAGATGAACGTCAAAACACGTCGTCAGGCTCGGCATTCCTTGTCTGAATCGACTGAATCAAAATGTTCAGTGGCCGACACCGGCAGGAACCGAGCGCCGCGTGGAGGTCACGGTGGCCGCGCGTCGCCGTTGCCCTGACCGCGCAGGCCACGACGCGCCTGAGCGTGGCTTCAACACTCCAACGTTCGCCCGCAATGCCCAGCGCCCTTATCTCGTTTTTCCCGGCCTCCTTCTTCGCCACAGCAGAGCTGCCGAGCTCCCGCAGCACCGAGCAGCACCGCCGTCGCCATAGCCGTGCGCAGGCTCACGACGAGCCACCCAATCGTCACCATAACAGCACCACTAGCTCCCCAGCGACCCACTGCCTCCACCCGCGCTAGCTGACCGCACCTAGTAAGCAATGGCGCTGTGCGCTAGCTCGCTGGAGCATCCCCGACGCGCCCGTCACCGTGGCTGGGGCACCTCCCTCCACCATAGACTGTGAAACCTTGCGCGATATGTTCGCCGTAGGACACTGGTGCTCGTCCGAGCTTTAGGTCGAGCCACCGAGGTCAGCACCGACGTAGCGCCGTCGTCCTGCGTCACCGATCCGCCATGGCTGCCGCCGTCGTCACTAGAGTTGATGTTAGGGTCGGGCAAGTAGTGCAAACGATGCGCCTCGTCGAGTAGAACGTCTGGTGAAGATGTCACCGCCGGCGAACTCGCCGCCGTCGAGTTCTAGCCGCGCCCAAAGAGTAGCGCCGCCGGCTCTGTTTTTGTTTCGCTGACCGGTGGGGTCAACTGACCAGTGGGTCCCGCGTGTCAGCGACTCCCTGTTTTAAAGCTAGTTCATTTAAATACAGATCTGGTGTTGTTTTGTAATTTTTGTATCTTCAGTTTGGTAGCTTCAAAAATTGTGAAATAAATTTGTTAGTGTTCCTTAGGAAGTGTAGTATTTAGGAAAAATAT